ATATCAAAATCATTAATCTAAAAACATAAATTTTGGGTCCTAAATGATTTCAAATAAAAAAGTTATCAACTAAAAAGTGCATATATCTTCCAGCACTACAACTTTGGTTTAGGTCATTTCTCCATCCGAGATACTTTGAATTTTTTTTAAAAAAAACAAATTTCAAAATCTAAAAACTTCAAACATAATTCCAGGGCACTACAAAATGTAGTCATGTACAAAGTTGTAGATCCCTTCGAGTACTGCATCTTTGGTTTTGTTTCTCCATTCGAGGACATTTAAAAAATTAACATCGAATTTCAAATTATAAAAACTTAAAACAAAAATTTCTGACCTTAAATGATTTCAAATGGAAAACTTGTCAGCTACAACATTGTAGATCTCTTTGAGTACTAAAACTTTGGTACAAAACCTTTTTGAGGTAGGCCAAATTGTTAACTGCCTTAAAAAATCCATTTCTGAGTTGGCTAGAATTTCCAACCACCTCTAGAAATGCCTCCATTTCTAGGAGCGTATGGAAAGTCTAGGTGCCTCTAAAAATTACATTTTTTGAGGCGGTTTGGTTTGCCAACCAACCTCTAAAAATAGGAAGCATTTCTAGAGGTGGCTTAAAAGCTTAGCTACCTCTAAAATCGATTTATAGTGGCAAACCATTTTTAGAGGCGGATTTTGATAGAGCCGCCTCTACACAAAAAAAAGAAGGAGCCTCTAAAAAATGGTTTATATGTAGTAGTGATACAAGCTATTAGGAATTACTTTACACGTTCCACGATGTTTATCCAGTTCTCATGGCTAAGAAGCAAGATTCTTGGTTAATATTTGATGTATTTTGCATCATATTTGTTTTTTACACAAAAATATATAGATTTTTGGTTCTTCATCTATGTTAGAAGAATAAGAAATAATTTAATTTCATAAAAAACTTTAAGTTTTGTGTCACCTTGGTAAGCATACTGAATAAATATTATGAAGTAGAGGTACTAGTTTAGACTTAATAAAGTTCTTTGAAATATTGGAGCAACCGATCAAGGAATCTCATGAGCAATTTTATTTTTCCCAATACATCGAGAGATCTTGGATCTTTACATCGAGAGCATTTGGTTTATAATTTGTACTCCCTCTATTCGAAAAGGTAAGTCGTTTTGGTTTTCTAGATTTATACTTTTTACTTATATGTAGACATAGTGTGTCGACAGAAGATGCTCAGCAGTCCACCGAGGGGCATCCCGCGATGGTAGATTTGTCGGTGGGGGTGCGTGTAATCAGGAACCGGATGGTGACACAAGGCGCAGAGACAGCGATTTAAACAGGTTCGGGCCGTCTAATCGACGTAATACCCTACGTCCTGTGTCTTTGGTGTATTATATTGATCTGTATCGTATGGAGATCTGTCCACTAGGGGACCCCTGCCTCTCCTTATATACTCTGGAGGGGCAGGGCTACAAGGAAAGTAGCCTATTTGGTACTATACAATATCTTGCGGTGCACATCGAGCAGCGCCGTGCACGCCTTGATCTTGTGGGCTGGGCCACCTCTGATGGTGCGGCCCATGTCTTGTCTTGAGGATACCGGGGGCCATACCCCCACAGCTAGTCCCCGAGCCTGACAGTAGGTGATGTAGTCACATGGTGCCAGGGTCAGAAAAGTAGAAGACCAGCCGAGCAGGCAGTCAGTCCCCGGGCGTAGCCTCGAGATGAGAAAAGCGCACATTCACCGCAAGGTAAAGTGTGTCCACTTAGTTCTCGAGCCTGCTGGAAGATGAAGAATGAATCTTGTAGCAGGGTCAAAGAAAAAGAAGTCTGAAAGCTTGCCGACGTCGTCTAACATGCGCGTAACAAGACCCCAGACGTGTTGCCCAAGATCAGCATCCTGATCTGAACAGCATGGAGCAGCTTGATAGTGCACCAATGAGACATAGCAAGATCCGACCACCAAGGGCGATGTCCGAACGCCGAAGAGCGAGGAGTCCGCGGCATCGCTGGCGATGTCCGAGCTCCGAGGAGCGAGGAGTCCCCAACGTCGCTGGCGATGTCCGAGCGCCGAGGAGCGAGGAGTCTCCGGCGTCGCTGGCGATGTCTGAGCACCGAGGAGCGAGGAGTTCCCGGCGTCGCTGGCGATGTCCGAGCACCGAGGACCGAGGAGTCCCCGGTGTCGCTGGCAATGTCCGAGCATCGAGGAGCGAGGAGTCCCCGGTGTCGCTGGTGAAGTCCGAACACCGAGGACCGAGGAGTCCTCGGCATAGGCGGTGATGTCCGAGCACCGAGGAGTCCTGGCGTAGCTAGCGATGTCCGAGCAACGAGGAGTTCCCCGCGTAGGCGGCGATGTCCGAGGAGCGAGAGTCCACCGAGGAGCGAGAGTCCTCGGCGTCGCTAGCGATGTCCGAGCACCGAGGAGCGAGGAGCGAGGAGTCCCCGGTGTTGCTGGCGATGTCCGAGCGCCGAAGAGCGAGAGTCCCCAGCGATGCTGGTGATGTCCGAGCACCGAGGAGCGAGGAGTCCCCGGCATCGCAGGCGATGTCCGAGTACCGAGGAGTCCCCGGTGTTGCTGGCGATGTCCGAGCGCCGAAGAGCGAGAGTCCCCGACGACGCTGGCGATGTCCGAGCACCGAGGACCGAGGAGTCCCTGGCGTTGCTGGCGATGTCCGAGTACCGAGGAGTCCCTGGCGTTGCTGGCGATGTCCGAGTGTCGAAGAGCGAGAGTCCCCAGCGACGCTGGCGATGTCCGAGCACCGAGGAGCGAGGAGTCCCCGGCATCGCAGGCGATGTTCGAGTACCGAGGAGTCCCCGACGTATCTGGCGACGTCCGTGTGGTGAAGTGTGTCCACTTAGTCCTCGGGCACGAAGAATTCAAGCGCCGAGGAGTAACCGATGTAACTGACGATGAAGCACGAGCGACGAACAGTCTGGTCAACTGGTCGGCGGCGAAGTGAGCATTGAGTAGAAGCGACCGGCAAACAGTCCGATCAACTGCTCGGCGACGAAGTCGATGAACCTAGCGGTCCGACCAGTTGATCGGTGGAGAAGTCCGAGCACCAGGTGATCCGATCACCTGGACGATGATCCTGCAATATAAACATGTAGAACGGGTAGTATATGATGTAAAAATATATGAACTCCGGAGAAAAAATAACGTATGTAGTTTGGTGATCAGTTGGAGCGAAGATATATTTATATTCAATAAAAACCGCCCAACCAGTTAGTGTGTAGCTGAGTCTCCAGCCCTAGCTAGCCCATAGTCCATAACATCGAGCGCAGAGCCTGTGCACGTGTAGGAGGAACAGGCATCACCAAGGAGCCGCTGCCGACCACCCATAACGCAGAGAGCAGACACTCGTGCACGTGTAGGGAGGAGCCAGAGACAGGGCCGTCTCTGGAGGCGTCCGAGCGTGAACATGACTGTTCGGAGGTTCAGAAAATTGTTTGGAGAGCAAATATAGAGAAAATAATTTGGAGAAACATTATGGCGATATACGAAGATTGGAGAATATTTAGAAGAATATTAAAGCGTGACTTAGCTTTAGACAGAAAGTCTGGTTGGCGACGTATGGCGTTATCTGGTTGGCGTTGACGACGAGCACCTGACGGGCGGTGAGTTGTTGGTGAAGGCGACCTCGGAGGTGGTTCCGAGATCGGATCTGGTTTGCTGGAGACGTGAAGTCCCGTCGCAGGCTGCTGGAAAGTCGTCGTTGCCGTGATGTCGAACCCGTCAGGTTGCTGAAGGACGCCGCCGCAGGAAGTCAGGTTGCCACGAGCCCGCGATGGTAGATTTGTCTGTGGGGGTGCGCGTAATCAGGAACCGGATGGTGACACAAGGCGCAGAGACAGCGATTTAGACAGGTTCGGGCCGTCTAATCGACGTAATACCCTACGTCCTGTGTTTTTGGTGTATTATATTGATCTGTATCGTATGGAGATCTGTCCACTAGGGGACCCCTGCCTCTCCTTATATACTCTGGAGGGGCAGGGTTATAAGGAAAGTAGCCTATTTGGTACTATACAATATCTTGCGGTGCACGTCGAGCAGCGCCGTGCACGTCTTGATCTTGTGGGCTGGGTCACCTCTGATGGTGCGGCCCATGTCTTGTCTTGAGGATACCGGGGGCCATACCCCCACATAGTGTATATCTAGGTGTATAGTAAAAGCTATATATCTAGAAAAGCCAAAACGACTTACAATTTAGAACGGAAAGACCACTAAGTATGAATATTTATATACAGCCCACTTTATTTAGTCTACAAATACATATTACATACCTACTCGAATATGAAGCTGCAGTATGTGCAAACAAACCAAAGTGGGCCTTTTATTTTGATGGTATATAACTAACTCCCACCAAGAGTATGCCTTATCATCTTTTTCAAATTATAGTTTATTTTAGTGTTGTCGTACATCTCTGATTTTGATCAAGTTTATGAAAAAGCTATCAATATTTACAACATCAAATTAGTTGTCAATGAAAATATGTCTTGGTAGTGTATTTATTTGAACATGTAAATATTACTATAGCTCTCTAAAAACTCAGTCAAAGATAGAAAAAAAGAGAACAATGCTAAAGAAACTATGATTTGCCTCGGAGTCGGAGAGAGTACATATGCAAGAATTGCACTTCAAAAATGTATTTTGATTGACTCGTGACTAGGTGGCAATTCAAAGTCTACCCAGGTAAACTCTCGATCACGCACTGAATGATGAATGTGATATATGGCCACATAACTACCACAGCACTCACAGTCCAGAGTCCAACTGTATGGCGATCGTACTACCCGGCGCCGGCGGGCGGGCGACGACCGTAACATCTGATGGGACAGTGGAATTATGGCGGGTTAGAATCTTTGCTTGCGACGGCTTTATACAGTATCTGCGCATGCACGAAACCGTATCTATAGCTTTTAAATACGAGTAGTAGTTCCGGTAACCCAGAATATAATCCCGACACTAAACACCACGCAGACAAGCTGATTGGCTTAATGATGAGCACGAGTAGAGTAATGGTTTGCGCCATGGCGTTCGCTCTGGCGTGCTTGGCGTTGCCGGCCATGCCACCTGCATCCGCAAATGACGGAGGGATACTGTATGTCCCGTCCGCTGCCACCATAGCTAGTCACTGCCCCTCCAGCTGCGGGGACATCAACATCTCCTACCCCTTCGGCATAGGGGCCGGCTGCTTCCGACAAGGCTTCCAGTTCGAGCTTACTTGCAACCACACCACTCAACCTCCAAAGTTGTTTCTGGGTAACAGCACAATTCAGATTACTGACATTTATGGTTCCTCGGTATACATCCCAACTATGTTCTTCAACAGTAGCTTGGAAGAATCTGGTACGAACACCCACAATATATCTTGGAATGCCCCCGCCAAGGGTATTACTATCCCCCGTTATATGACTTTCTTCTTCCTTGGCTGCGATTTTGATGTTGACTTGTTTGACTCTGTGAGGAACCCTATCGGCACCTGCATGAGCAGGTGCCACGGCAAGGTATTGCCGAATCAAGGGCCTTGCTTTGGGGTTGGTTGCTGTTCCATCATTCTACTAAACGACATCTCAGGCTTTCAGGGAGCAATTGTTCGGGCTGGTAATATGGCAGCACAGTCAGATCCTCGGCACCCTGGCATCATGGCTTTCATATCAGCAGGAGGTTACATCTCCAATGCGACTGATCTTTTCTCAAGTTGGACAAATGCAAGCAAGATTTATCACACTGCACTTGAGGTTGCCATCATGGACCAACCAAGCTGCGAAAGCGCGCAGATGAACAACGCAAGTTATGCTTGTGCCACTGACAGCTATTGCCAAAATGAGTCATATGGAGGGTACAGCTGCTACTGCTACAATGATAATAATATTTATTACACAGCCAATGCTTACCTTTCCGAAGGATGCATGCAACAATTGTATTTAGGTGCTCCCTGCTTGCTTTTCTCTAAAAAAAAGAAAATATTTAACATTTTATCTTCTTGTTCTTACTCTTATCAATCTATTGTTATGAAACAGATTACAACCCCAAGCCCATTCCCTTCCCTTTCGGGCTTGAAGAAGATTGTTCATGCCGCAGTGAAAACAGTGATTGCAAAAACGTGATCCATGGGAAAACATTTATGGGATATCGTTGCAAGTGTTCTACTGGCTACACAGGAAATCCATACATACAGGACGGCTGCACAGGTACATACCTTTCCTCCTTCACTATGTGCTACAACATAACATAGTTCACACCCAAAAATGGAAAGAAAATTAACAAATTCACATACTCTAAAAAATTTGTAATTTGTAGTTAAATCCGACTAGGCAGATTTAGACAGAAGATTCCTTTTCATCGGCTTGGTATGCAAGTATGCAACCCCAGATTATGATGATCAACATATATAAATAACGAGAATTGACTGTCTACAGATATTGATGAATGCTCACTGCCAAACTACTGCAACGGTACATGTGAAAACCTTCCTGGAAGCTATATGTGCACACCGTGCTCTCATACCCAAGAATTTGATTTCATCAAGCGGCGTTGTGTTACATCAGCTAAGCAACGAAATCTTCTTTTAGGTAAGCCATAGCATACAAACTCCCTTGAAATTATAATTTGTAAACGTTAACATGATTTCATAACAACAACAAATGCATATAGGTATTGCAATTGGAACTGCAGTTGGTTGTGGCCTTGGCTCCATATTTATTGGATTGGGTGTAATTCTACTTGCCAATAAGTGGAAGAAAGGCATCCAAAAGAGACTTCGGCGAGCATACTTCAAGAAAAATCAAGGTTTGCTATTGGAGCAACTGATCTCAGATGAAAGCGCTGCAAGCAAAACAAAGATATTCTCATTGGAGGAACTAGAGGAGGCGACTAACAACTTTGATGCTACTCGTGTTCTTGGTTGTGGAGGACATGGAACAGTTTATAAAGGGATTCTATCAGACCAACGTGTGGTGGCCATAAAAAAATCCAAAATAGTGGAGCAAACAGAGATAGACCAATTTATCAATGAAGTTGTCATTTTGTCCCAAATCATCCATCGTAATGTGGTGAAACTGTTTGGTTGCTGCCTAGAAGATGAAGTTCCCATGCTTGTCTATGAGTTCATTTCAAATGGCACTCTGTATGAACTTCTTCACACGGATACTACAGTAAAATGCTTGCTTTCATGGGATGATCGCCTGAGGATTGCAATGGAAGCATCCGGGGCTCTGGCTTATCTACACTCAGCAGCTACAATACCAATTTTTCACAGAGATGTCAAGTCTTCAAATATACTCTTGGATGACAACTTCACCACAAAGGTTTCAGATTTTGGTGCTTCAAGATCTCTTTCACTTGATGAGACCCATGTGGTGACAATTGTTCAGGGAACATTTGGTTACTTGGATCCAGAGTATTATCATACCGGTCAACTAACGGAGAAGAGTGATGTATACAGTTTTGGAGTAATACTTGTGGAACTCTTGACAAGAAAGAAGCCAATTTTTATTAATGATTTAGGTGCAAAGCAAAGTTTGTCCCATTTCTTCATTGAAGGACTTCACCAAGGGTCTCTTATTGAAATAATGGATACTCAAGTTGTGGAAGAAGCAGACCAGGAAGAGATTAGTGAAATTGCCTCACTTGCAGAAGCATGCTTAAGGGTAAAAGGAGGAGAGCGACCGTCTATGAAAGAATTGGAGATGAGGTTGCAATTCTTAAGAACAATGAGGCTGAGAAAAAGACATCATTTACCCGAAAAAGATGGAGATATTGAGCCTTTGCTATGTGGAAAATCTAAGAAGTCACTTAAACATATCGATCTTATTAATGCTGCACATATACCACCTCAAGAGACCTCGAGATGCTACAGTTTGGAACAAGAATTTGTATCTTCGTTTAGGCGACGCTAACTGCATTAGGGTAAGATTATAGAAGTTGCATTTAATTTCATATATTTGGATGAGATTGTATCACACAGATTCATGTTCTGTGTAATATGCACAATGTATTGTAGACCAGATGGCTTGTATCCTTCTATATGATGGCTTGTATCTTCTGTAGATGCATATAGGGTATAGCATCAGGTCCCTGTATTAAAGATAAGGTTCTATAAGAACATAGTTGTGGTTGTCGACAAGTCTATTGATAATTTGATATCAGTTGCCAATGGCTCAATCAGTGGTTGTCGACACATTGCTGCACTTTTTGTCATAATCAGACTAATGTGAATTGACACTCATATATGAGAACAGAAAGATATGGCAAACTCACTCTTCCCTTCAATGTCCTTGCATGACAGTACCAACTTCGTTGTCCTTTCATGACATTATCAATAGCACGGCCATCACGTGTATTCAACACAGAACTTCAAAGTCGCATTTGCAGATATGAAAGTATGTACAAGTCTACCCTACAGATGCAACTGATCTGCATATGGAAAATCTAAATTACTAGCTTGTCGCATTTTAGACTTTTAAAACTTCTGCAAGTGTGAGCGCGCGTGGATCATCAGTACCTATATTTTGAATATTTTGTACCAACTATTATTATTACATACATGAAGCAATACATTCCACTGAAAATGACCATGGCGCAAGGGAGTCTACCAATTCAAGGAGACAACAGTAGCCAAGGCCACGGGGGACGCCTCAAACGGGTGCTCATGCTGGGAGCCATGGAGGGGAGAGGAGGAGATCCCAAGCCCGAGGGGAGCAGTGGAGCAGGCCCCGCTCAGGCTGTTCCGCTTGCTCTACTGACGGGCGACTACCGACCCAGAGGTGACCTATCAACAACAAAGTGCGGCACTCAGCAGCGTCGGCGGCGAGGAGTCAAGGACGGAGTAAGTAGCATTGACTGACGGCTTGACGCAGGAATTGTTGGGCCTCAAAGGATTTTCTTCGGTGGGCTAGGGCGGTGCTTGCGTAAATATGGCCAAGAACCGCTGTCAGCAGCTTGGGTCAAGGACGACTTTTAACACGGCAAGCATCCAGGTAGCCAGCATGGTCACCGCGCTTGGGCCTCATCCTCACGTCACCAGACAATCCTACTACCAATTCAGTGTTGTTGGTGCTTTGCCTTGATTTGCTAGCAGGGTTTTCCTTAAGTCACAGGATCACCTAACATGATCCGATCCAAGTTATGGCTCTGACCACACTGCGGTGCTTGCAAGCGTGACCCTAGTAATTGGGCCGTGGTATAGTGTAACCAAATGTTTAAAGCACTACTCTGCAAATCCAATGCTAAGCACAGGCACATTTCAGTTGTCAGAGAATATGAAGTTATGAACTTTGTTCTAAATTCAGATTTCAGAGTCATGAGTGCGTCATGGTTGGTTCCCGCTCTCAGTTTAGGCATCCTTTTCATAAACTGATCCTCTCAGTCCATATGGATTAGAGTGAAAAATGTACTAATTTTCTACCTTGAATTGAAGGCCATTGATATGTTTTCAGACAAAGTGGAAGCCACTAGAGAGTCATGCCTAACGTAATGACCCACAAAATTCTGAGAAGCAATGGGCCACTTAGTCGTGATACTTTGGTTTTGTCGTTTTCCATACATACAAACGATCACGATGAACTAGTGGGCTCTAATGGTGGTAGATGTTTCAAGCGACAGACTTGACTCGACTAAGAGCATCTCTATTAGCCTCTCATTAATAATCTATCTATACTCCAATATATAAATACTAAGGTAACATAATATACTTTTTACGAATATAGATAGTACATATGTGTACATAACAGCTGAAAAATGATGGTTCAGGTGGGCCATTATTCGGCTGCCTTCGACTCTGTAGATGATGAGATTCCAACCCTGTCGAGTTAGGATGGATGCTCTCCGAGTAGTGGACATTTTGTTGGTTTTTAATTCTGGTATTAGAAAACTTTCAACCACCTTCGAAATTACTGGAATTAAGCCAAAGTTTCACCATTTTAGAGAGTTAGACATGAAGTACGGTTTTTTCCTAGAAATTTCTAGATCTAAATAAAATATTAGCACAGTTTAAGACCACATGTATTGAGTAAAAGAATATGCAATATAAGACATAGAAAATATGAGTCTACAGTTGTATTGCATGTATAATATGAAATGTTAGAATTTTTATTAGCCACCATCGGAATTCATGAAATTTTGCCAAAAGTTGGAACCCTGGTTCATGGCGTTTAAGTGTTGAAACACGGAGATGCGTATTTGTATGTGGTCCAACCTATAGATGGCCAATGGGCCGAGCCGGCACGGCATGGGCCCATGCCAGGCACGGCCCGATGGGAGTCGGGCCGGCACGGCACGTCGTGCCTCCCGGGCCGTGTCGAGGCGGGCTTCGTGCCTGACCTACAGCCCAGGCACGGCCTGCTGGGCCATTTTTCGGGCCAGGCCGGCTCGCGAAGCACGACGAAAACAGCAGGTCATGCCGACCCGCGGCCCACAGAATGCCAACGCCCAACAGAGGGGAAGCAGACGCTCGAGGCAGCCACCGGTGCGCTCGAATCCGGCTGCGTGTGGTGCGGCTGTACGATGGGGCGTGGCGCCGGCCGCCGGCGCGCTCGAGGCCGACCACGCGGGGGCGTCGAGGAGGAGGGCGGCCGCCGGCGCGCTCGAGGCCGGTGCTGGGGGCGTGAAGGAGGCGGCCGGTGATGCGGGAGACGCGGAGGTGGTGGTCGCCGACGAGAGCACGGAGGAGGTGCGGGACGGGGGAGGAGCGAGACGAGCGAGAGCACCAAGGGCTCATGGCTATCGTGCAGCGCGGGGAGGGAAGAGAAGGGAGCACGCGGTTCCAGCTGCCACACGCCCATACCTGGCCGGCGAACGAAGAGAAGGAGCAAGGGAGAAGAGTGATGCTGCGAGTGGGGAGCGGGGAGGGAGGGGAGCTGGGTGCGTCGCGAATCGCAATTCGTGAGTGCGGCTGTGTGGGTGCGTCCTCGGCGCCGGCGCAGAGGTGAGAGGAGGAGCGAGCACTGCAGCTTGGGGAGGCTGGGAGGGGGATGCGCGGGGGATGGGAAGGGTGTTAGGGTTCAGGGGGTTGGGGTAGGCCGGCTACGGGAGCAGGCCGACACTAACGGTCGGGGCTCTTAATAGGTCGGCTGGCCGGGCCGCCACCGGGCCGTGCGCTGTGGAGCGGGTCGTGCCGTGTCGGCCCACGTGCCTGGAGTATGGCCCAGGCACGGCCTGCTCCTCGGGCCGTGCCAGCCCAGGCCCGCTCGCCACCGGGCCAGACCAAAAAAATGGGCCTGGTGCTGGGCCAATGGGCTCGGGCTGCATGGCCATATATAGTCCAACCCAGTTAATCACTGTGTGATATCCGGACCATGGCCTTTCTCAACCGTGTATCCTTTTCGGCTTTGCCTATGTATACACACCGCTGTAGTGACAGCTGCCTAAAAACTAGAGATGGAACGTATCGAATACACATATGAAATTGATATATGAATGTTACTACTCTCTCCATCCTGGTAATTAAGGTCGTTCTGAACAGGATTTAGCATATCAAGAAGTAATTAATTAGGTTGCATGTTTCCCTGTTTTTCCATATTAAATAGGGTTGCGGGTATCGCAACAAAGTTTACAACCTGAGTGGTTAGCGCATCGAGACCGAAGGCTACCGAAGGGTCGTGGTTAATGGGGGAGGCGTGCGCGTACAGTAAACCAGGAGTTGAGGGGCATTAGCGTCCAAAACATGTTTTGTTAGATGTGGACACGCATACGTGTGACCGTCGGCGTGCCGCGTGAGCCTAAAAAATACGGAGGACTTTCGTCAAAAAAAAAACTGGTGCACGCGCCTCCGTATCTTTCCCAGATTCGGAAAAGCAGCAACCGCTGGGCCACATCTGGGTACCAGTTCGAAACACACCGACACCGTGCCCGTGGCCTTTCGTCCAATCGTGCGCGGGCGCAGACGGCTTCGCACATGCAATTGTCCAAGTTCTTTTCACGGTTGGTTCTTTTGACGTAGGTACTGGTGGTTGGCTAACGTGTCACCGATCAAGTTTGCCCCTGAACCCTCCCTCAAAATCGTGATTACTCGTGACCATGAATGGTGAAGTGCGCCAGCAGCACACGAACAAGATGTTGTTGATGGACGCCGCGAACTGGACCCACTCGGGCCCTGGCAGGTACCGTTGACAGCGCACGCGTGCGTGCTGAGCCCTGCGATGTTCCGCTGCGCGGTGGCCACGTATTTCGATCTCGCGAGGCTGCGGAGCTTCGTGGTTTGATCTGCGGCAAGATCGGCACGGAGAAGACTGGGAGGTTGTTCTGGGCTGCAGATGAAGAGCCGAAGGGGTTGGGGTCCAGCTCGTACTCAAGGTCTGTGTACCACCACACCTTCATGTAGTAGCTCGCGCCAGGGTACATCGGGCTTGACATAGAACGCGTCGACGTCGGTGACGGTGAGCATGTGGTTGGCAATAGAGAAGAAGAGCTCATCGTTCGGTGTGGCGTTGATCGGCCGTGGCGTTCATGAGCCGAGGCAAGAATTTCTCGTCGGGCTTTATGTACAAACAAAATTTATGACTCCGTGCGACACACGGGCACATACATATAGTTCTCGTATGGATTCGCATCTAAGTACCCATTTAACTTTGTTATATGTAAATATCCATGTAATGAATTTTAGAAATAAATGATGTAATGAGATATCAAAATATAATAAGTATACTAGACTTTTTGGGGCTCATATTCATCTAAAAACTATCAAAGTGGCCGTTTTAGTTAAACTTTATATTTTGAATTCAGTTTCACCTCGTATTAGTCCTTGAACTTTATATTTTGAATTCAATTTTACCTGTGAATAGCAAAGTGCATTTTAATCCTTCAACTATTTCTTTGCTCATTGTCATTACTTGCCCTACATGGAACGTCGTGATGTCGCGCCTGTTAGCTCTAGGACCACTCACGATTTAAGATAAATGGTCACCGTTAGGTCCTAGTGCCCCTGACATTGTCCCTAGCTATCGAATTGGACATCACACATTCGATATTTATATCCATATAATTCAAAATAAATATAAATATAGATCCAAATATCCTTGAATATGAATGATTGGATCGTTCGGATCCATATCTAGTTTGGATATCATATATTCATAGATCCGTATCTAGTTTGGATATCATATATTCATATTGTTCAACTATAATATTTTTTTTCATTCCAATAATTAATTATAATTTCTAGCTTATAGATAAAAACATATTATTTTTTATCATAATTGGTTATTAGTTGAGCCTCATGCTAGGAATAGCTAAGAAAAAGTTGTAGTTTGTTGTTGTTCTAATTTACCCGCGTTTTCTTAAATTACTCCCTCTATTTTAAACTATAATTCATTCTATCTCTTTTTAGTGTATATCTAGGTATATCGCAATAGTAATATGTCTATAAAAATCAGAATGATTTATAATTTAGAATGGAGGGAGTACTAAATAGTGTTTATAGCAGCTATAATTATTCCACAAAAATAATGTATAGTAAGATATATATATAAATGACACTATTACAAGATAACATTCCAAATAACATTAGAATTATTAAGATAAAATTTTCTATTTGACACTAAAAAAATTTATGCTCTCTTATTTAATAACCAAACTTGAAATCTTTCTTATTTGTCTACCCTTTCAATTTTCCTTACCTATCTGATACTTCCATCGGTTTCAAGGTGTAATGATGAAAGGTCCTAATGGCTAGAGTGGGGTGAATTGCCTATAAAAATTTCTATAACAACACTTAACAAGGTGGTTAGACAATTATGAAGCGGAGCGAGTGTTGCGCTAGCCTACTAAAAAATGCAAGCCATCTACCATAATTCTAGTTACTATAGTCTCTAATTCACACAAAGGGCTAAGTCACTACTAATAAGTTAGTGAGCTCTCAAAGAATAACTAAAGAGCCTCACTAACCACTACACAAACAAGAAAGGTAGCTCTCAAAACTAACTACATTAAAGAGCTTAGCTACACTAGAGAATGTAAATACAAGTGAGGGTAGTGAAGAGATACCGACGTGGCAAGCGATGATCAATCAATCACAAGAAAACCAATGAAATTCTCGGGACAAGATGACACAATGATTTATCCCCGAGCTTCACTTGCTTGCCGGTAAACTACGTCCTCGTTGTAGCGATTCACCCACTTGGAGGTTCACGCGCTAATAGGCATCACATGCCTAACCCGCAATCGGGTGCCGCACAACCAACACAAGATAGGGATCCACAGGCTACAAGCAATCCACAAAAGTACCTTTTGGCTCTTCGTCGGGGAAAGGTCAAGAACCCCTCATAATCACTACAATCGAAGCCGGAGACAATCACCTTCCTCCACTCGACGATCCTCGCTGCACCAAGCCGTCTAGGTGGCGGCAACCACCAAGAGAAACAAGCGAAATCAGCAGAGAAACACAATCACTAAGTGCCTCTAGATGCAATCACTCAAGCAATGCACTTGGATTCACTCCCAATCTCACAAAGATGATGAATCAATGATGGAGATGAGTGGGAGGGCTTTGGCCAAGCTCACAAGGTTGCTATGTCAATATAAATGTCCAAGAGAGTGAGCTAGAGCTGGCCATGGGGCTTAAATAGAAGCCCCCACGAAATAGAGACATTGGGCTCTCACTGCAGCCCAACTCGGGGCGACCGGACGCACCGATCAGGTATGATCGGACGCACGCCTCAGCGTCTGGTCAACCATCGCCATCCACGTGTCACCTCTGTTCAACCACACGTGTACGATTCCAACGGTCAAATTCAAACCCTTGCGTGTTAATTTAAGACCAGACTCGCGGCAACACGACCTGATGCGCCAACGCGGCATCCGATCGCTCCTGCGCCTGAGCCAGCCACGCAGTGACCGGACACGCTGTTCCTCGCGGCTTCTCAATGTTAGGTCACTTCCAGTAAGCATCCAGAGGTGAAATTTCGCGACCGGACGCGTTAGATCACACGTGACCGGATGCATCGGTGAGTTAGGTCAACTCTGCCTCTCTCTGTTGCTTGCATCAGCGTACGTCATACACGACAGGACGCACCTCCATCGCATCAGGTCACTACTTTCACCAGCGTCCGGTCAGGGACTGACGCCACGCTCTTCACTGCACCGATGACCGGACGTGCCGATCCCCAAGTCCGGTCACTGCGTGACCTGCGTCCGGTCAGAGGAAAACATCTCCTCCACTTCACCAACTTCTCCACCCTTGAACAAATATGCCGACCACCAAGTGTATCACCTTGTACACATGTGTTAGCATTTTTTCACAAACAATTTCAAGGGTGTTAGCACTCTACTGGATCTAAATGCATATGCAATGAGTTAGAGCATCTAGTGGCACTTTGATAACCGCATTTCGATATGAGTTTCGCTCTTCTTAATAGTACGACTATCTATTCTAAATGTGATCACACCCACTAGGTGTCTTGATCACCAAAACAAAATGGCCCTATCAAATTCACCTTTGCCTTGAGCCCATTTTGTTTTTCTCTTTCTTCCTTTTCAAGTCGAGCACTTGATCACCATGGCCATCACTACCATCAACAAGATCTTCATTTGCTCCACCGCTTGGAATAGTGCTACCTATCTCATGATCACTTAGAGCAAATAGGTTAGCACATAGGGTTTCATCAATTCACCAAAACCAAACTAGAGCTTTCAAACGGTGTTAAAATCCAATGTAAAAGACCGTTTTGCCCCTGCTGCCTCATGTGCCGCCATAGCCTCCTCACCGGTGGTGTGGTTGGAAGCCGACGCGACGTGTGGGCCGGGTGCGCAGGGGAAGCCGGCATCCGGTTGCACGGGGCATGGGTCGGCGGCCGGGGAAAGGGCATACAGGCAAGACCGGGCATGCGTGGGCGGCGGCCTAGGCACGAGCAATCTTCGGCGCCGCATGGGGACGTAGGTGGCGGCAGCTCCGGGGCATGAGGAGGCTGTGGCGGCGCGTGAGGAGGCAGGGCGTGGGCGGTAGCAGGCCGTGGCAGTGCGTGGGGGCCATGATAGCGTGGGTGGCAGTGGCGACAGCTAACCACGGCGAGAGAGACGGCAATGGGGACGGCCAGTCACGGCGAGAAGAAAGGGAGAGAGAGGAAGAAGAAAGAGAAAGAGGGCAAAAACATCATTTCACAGCTGTTCTCTCACCTCCTAAGCCAGAAATAAATATTTTAATACGTTTGGTGTCCTTCAGCAAATATGGCACAAACTAGAGTGTTTGCCAGCAAATCAATCTTTTTCGGTGTCCGCTGGCAAAGCGACCTCACTTCCAGTGTCCGCTAGCAATTTTTGCCATGTTTTTTTTCTTAATTTAAGTATGCTAGAGATAAGTTCTTTGAGAATAATTATATAATTGAATGCATATTTATACCCATTACTCATCATATATATGCTTAAATTTAATGTGATTATCATATGCCGCTATTGGAACTTAGCATCCGCAATAGTGCCTCCTATCTCGACACCAATTCACTACCAACTCGCTCGCGCTATACACTTTTTAGTACCTTGTAGTTCAAAGACTACAATGACTATTCTGCCTATATACGACCAAAACAACGCTTGACCTAGTATTAAGGTTTCGTATTTCTTAAGTTGCTGATTCCCACTTTCACATGCAAGACTGGTGAACAAGATAAGGAGATCTCACTTCTTTTCTTGTTTGGCTAAAAATAACCATGCATATATGCAAGATCTAAAGAGACTCGCATACACGTATTAACTTTGCAGGTTAGCTTCTCAAAGAAGATAGATAGCGTGAGGAATTGATTTCAGTTCTCTCTTTTTTTTTCAAAAAAGAAAAAAGATACATAGCATGAGATGCAGACCAGACGTGTAATCCTTAATCATCCAGCATGACAGTGTTGCCAAATGAACGCACTTGGCGAGCCGTTAACTCGTTTATTTGGTGTTGCCATGGCCCATTAGCAATGAGCTTTGGGAGCTAGCTAGTGAGCAACGCACATGGCGAGTCGTTTTTGGTCCCAGCGACGACTGAATTATAGCTTGATAGGTATGCATTTAATAGAAATGAAGAACTCGTAGATTTGTTTTTCAACTCTAGAGTAAACTAAAATTCGAATTTAATCAAAATCTTTGACCGGTATAGTATTGTTTCGGACCTCACCAAAATAGATAAATTTCACAGAAATTCGATCATTTCGGGCCTGAACCCTGGTAAACTCTCAATCACGCACTGTGATATGCCTCATAACTACCAGACCACACACAGTCATATAGACGCTAGCCAAAGCGACCGCGCGTGAAGTACCTGGCAGGCGACGACCATAACATCTGCTGGGACAGGAGTATTATGGCGTTGGCGTGTTAATTTGCTCCTGACAGGAGTATCTACGCGTGCACGAAACTGTATCGATGGCCTTTAAATATGCGTAGTCCCGTAACCCAGAACCCCGACACTAATAACACCACGAAGACAAACTGATTGGCTTAATGATGAGCTCAAGTAGAGTAATGGTTTGTGCCATGGCGTTCGCTCTGGCGAGCTTGGCGGCCATGCCGGCTCAGGGTGTGCCGGCTGCATCTGCAGCGTCGGGTGACGACGGAGGGATACTGCATATCCCGTCCGCTGCCTCCTTAGCTCATCACTGCCCCTCCAGCTGTGGGAACGTCGACATCACCTACCCCTTCGGCGTAGGAGCCGGCTGCTTCCGACAAGGCTTCGAGCTTACCTGCAACTACACCACTCAACCTCCAAAGCTATTTCTGGGCAACAGCACAACTCAGGTTAATCACATTTATGGTACCAGTACCACAATTTACACCCATGCTGTGTTCTTCAACAATACTCCTAACTTGGACGAATCTAGTATGAACACCTACAATATATCTTGGGATGCACCCACTAAGGGGATTACTATCTACAGTTATGACATTTTCTTCTTCCTTGGCTGCGATTTCGATGTTGAATTGTTCGATTATGTAAGGAACCCAATCGGCTCCTGCATGATCAGGTGCCACGGCAAGGTATTGCCCAATCAAGGGCCTTGCAATGGGTTAACTTGACCTCAGGCTTTCAGGGAACAATAGTTCGGACTGGCAATATGTCAGCACAGTCAGATCCTCTGCACCCTGGCATTATGGGCTCGTTCGGCTGGTTGAAAAACCAGCCGGATTTCACTGTGCGCGGATGAAAAACACTGTTCACTCTCTCACAAGTTCCTCCAGATTCCTCCAAATTCCTCACAGCGAACAGGACCTATGGCTTTCATGTCAAAAGATACATGCAAGATGCGACTGTTCTTTTCTCAAGTTGGACAAATGCAAGCAAGATTTCTGATGCTGAACTTGAGGTTGCCATCATGGACCAACCAAGCTGCGAAAGTGCGCAAATGAACAACACAAGTTGTGCCTGTGCCACGGGCAGCTCTCGTGAAAATGGGTTTTATGGAGGTTACAGCTGCTACTGCTACAACAATAATAATTATAATTATAATTATAATTATAATGCTTACCTTTCTGAAGGATGCATGCAAGGTTCTCCCTGCTTGCTTTATGTAAAAAAATTGAAATATTAATGTTTTATCTTATGTCCTAACTCTATCAATCTACTATTATGAAGCAGATTACAACCCCAAGCCTAAAGAACACTGCCAGAGGTCATGTGGGAACATTTCCATTCCCTTCCCTTTCGGGCTCGAGGAAGATTGTTTCGGAAACCAAAGGTTCCGACTTAACTGTACCACCACAAATGAGACGCTTTTTAGCACAACATCAGCTTGTTATGATGGTTAGCAACGTGCTAAACAATGCCTCTTAACTACCAGACCACACACAGTCATATAGACGCTAGCCAAAGCGACCGGGCGTGAAGTACCTGGCAGGCGACGACCATAACATCTGCTGGGACAGGAGTATTATGGCGTTGGCGTGTTAATTTGCTCCTGACAGGAGTATCTACGCGTGCACGAAACTGTATCGATGCCTTTAAATATGCGTAGTCCCGTAACCCAGAACCCCGACACTAATAACACCACGAAGACAAACTGATTGGCTTAATGATGAGCTCAAGTAGAGTAATGGTTTGTGCCATGGCGTTCGCTCTGGCGTGCTTGGCGGCCATGCCGGCTGCATCTGCAGCGTCGGGTGACGACGGAGGGATACTGTATATCCCGTCCGCTGCCTCCTTACCTCATCACTGCCCCTCCAGCTGTGGGAACGTCGACATCACCTACCCCTTCGGCATAGGAGCCGGCTGCTTCCGACAAGGCCTCGAGCTTACCTGCAACTACACCACTCAACCTCCAAAGTTATTTCTGGGCAACAGCACAACTCAGGTTAATCACATTTATGGTACCAGTACCACAATTTACGGACAATTTACAGTACCAGTATCATTTCAATCATCTTGTTCTTACTCCTTGTCAATTTATTATGGTGCAGATTACAACCCAAAGCCTAAAGAGCATTGCCTGAGGTCATGTGGAAACATGACCATTCCCTTCCCTTTCGGCCTCGAAGAAGATTGTTATGGAAACAAAAGGTTCAAGCTTAATTGTACAGCAGGTAACACTACACTTTTCAGCTCAGGAAGTGCACAATATCACGTGATTAATGTGTCGTAGAAGATGGGACTCTGATTGTCAGCAACACACTAAACAACAATGCAAGCTCCATGAAAGAAATGGTAATAGTTAATACCAACGAGCAAGGAGATACTGACTTCGAGGGCCCTGTCGAAGATCAATTTGATTTTTCTATGGAATATGACATTGTTATAAGATGGGCAATAACCAATTCAACTTGTCAGCAAGCTAAGCAGAATAATAGCAACTATGCATGCCGTAGCACAAACAGTTCTTGTCTACACGTAACCCATGGGGGCATATTTATGGGGTATCGTTGCAATTGTTCTTCCGGCTTCCAAGGAAATCCGTACATACAGGGCGGCTGCAAAAGTACATCTCTCTCATCGATCAGTAGTTCAGTACGTCTACAGAGCATTACATCACTCATACCCAAAATGGAATGCATATTAGTCGGATCAATGCTCTAACAGAACTGTAATTCGAAGTTCAATCGGATCAAATTATATAAACATTGGATTTGTTTTCAGCATAGTATAATACAAGAATATATGATACTCTCACAATTCCAAATTACAAGACATTATGGTTTTTTTTAGATACATAGCTTTTGCTATGCACTTACTTATACACTAATGTCTAGATACACGATAAAATCAATGTATCTAGAAAAGCTAAAACATCTTATAATTTGGAACGGGGAAAGTATATTTGTAACGGTCAATATAAATATTGAATAACAAATTAGATGTCTACAGATATTGATGAATGCTCGCTACCAAACTACTGCAATGGTACATGTGAAAATATCCCTAGAAGCTATAAATGCACGCCATGCCCTCACAGTAAAGAATTTGATTCTATTAAGGGGCAGTGTGTCATATCGACTAAGCAATGGAACCTTCTTTTGGGTAAGTCATAGCAAACAAAATCCCCTTGCAATTACATTTTGTAACATTAACATGGTCTTATAACCACAGCAAATGCATATAGGTTGCAATTGGAATTGGTTGTGGCCTTGGCTCCATATTTATTGCATTGGGTGCAATTCTACATGTCAATAAGTGGAAGAAAGGCATCCAAAAGAGAATCCGACGAGCATACTTCAAGAAAAATCAAGGTTTGCTATTGAAGCAACTGATCTTAGATGAAAGTGCTACAAGCAAAACAAAGATATTCTCATTGGAGGAACTAGAGGAGGCGACTAACAACTTTGATGCTACGCGTGTTCTTGGTCGTGGAGGACATGGAACAGTTTATAAAGGGATTCTATCAGACCAACGTGTGGTGACTATAAAAAATCCAAAATAGTGGAGCAAATAGAGATAGACAAATTTATCAATGAGGTTGTCATTTTGTCTCAAATCAGTCATCGCAATGTGGTGAAACTGTTTGATTGCTGCCTAGAAGATGTGGTGCCCTTGCTTGTATATGAATTCATTTCAAATGGAACTCTGTATGAACTTCTTCACACTAATACTACATTAAAAATGTTTGCTTTCATGGGATGATCGCATTAGGATTGCAACAGAAGCAGCAGGGGCTCTTGCTTATCTACACTCAGCAGCTACAATACTAATTTTCCACAGAGATGTCAAGTCTTCAAATATACTATTGGATGACAACTTCACCACAAAGGTTTCAGATTTTGGTGCTTCAAGATCTCTTTCACTTGATGAGACCCATGTGGTGACAATTGTTCAAGGAACATTCGGTTACTTGGATCCACAGTATTATCATACCGGTCAACTAACGGAGAAGAGTGATGTATACAGTTTTGGAGTAATACTTGTGGAACTCTTGACAAGAAAGAAGCCAATTTTTATTGATGATTTAGGTGCAAAGCAAAGCTTGTCCCATTTCTTCATTGAAGGACTTCACCAAGGGTCTCTTATTGAAATAATGGATACTCAAGTTGTGGAAGAAGCAGACCAGGAAGAGATTAGTGAAATTGCCTTACTTACATAAGCATGCTTAAGGGTCAAAGGAGGAGAGCGACCAACTATGAAATAAGTAGAAATGAGGTTACAATTCCTAAGAACAAAGAGGCTATGAAAAAGACAACATTTACTTGAACAAGAAGGAGATATTGAGCCTTTGTTATGAGCAGAAGCTAAGAATTCACTCGAACATATCAACCTTGTTAATGCTACCCATATAACACCTCAAGAGACCTCTAAGTGCTACAGTTTGGAGCAAGAATGTGTCTTCGTTTAGGCCACGCTAACTACATTTGTGCTAGATAATAAAGGGCTTTGCTTAGATACTGATTTATCTGAGATATAATATATTGTGAGCGCGCGTGGGACTAGTACCTATCTTCATAATATTTTGTACCAACTATCGGTAATGCATGAAGCAATACATTTCATTGACAAATGACCATGGCGCAAATGACCATGGCGCAAGGGAGCCTATCAATTGAAGGAGACGACAGTAGCCAAGGCCCAAGGCCACGGGGGACGCATCAACCAGCTGTTCGTGCTGGGAGCGTCGGAGGAAAGAGGCGGAGGGCCTGTTCCGCTTGGTAGAGCCTCTACCGATTACGGCGACCTATGGACAGCGAAGTGCGGTGCTCGGTAGAGTCGCGGCGAGGAGTCGAGGTGCCCGAGGACGGAGTAGGCATTGGCGCAGAAATTGGGCCTGAAAGGATTTTCCTTATGGGACTGGGCGATGCTTTCGTAACTATGGCCCAAGAACTGCTGTCGGCAGCGTGGGACAAGGACTTTTAACACGCCAAGCATCCATCCAGCCAGCAGCATGCTCAGCGCGCTGGGGCCTCATGTCCGGACAATCCTTACTCCCAATTCAGTGCTGTTAGTTCTTTGCCTTGACCATTTGGCAGCAGCTTCGGCCAAGGACGACGAGGAGCCTAGATGCAAGCCAATGCTAAGTGAGATACTTATTACTTCATGGTACGAGCATGAAGCAGCAAGGACACAGGCTTAGCTGTCTGTGTTCGACTGCTCGTCCGGCCCCCGTTGCGCCTGCAGCCAGCGCATGTACGCCGGATGAGTTTAACACAAATCTTCTAATAGTGTTGATTTGCTTCCCTGAGCTTTTTGCTGAATTTAAAAAGCACTATCAAATTCGAATACCGGACAACGCACTCCTTTTAACTTTCAAAACCTGAAATTCGGAGATGACCTCGTCCCTCTCGCAGCTGGTCTCCAAGAGTCAAGTGCATGCACTCCAAGCAGAACACGCAATCGGCTGCACAAGGCCTTGCAAGCGGGACGGTGGATTTCAGAGATCATTTGTGGTGTCTCAGTCCAGGCGCTGGTACAGTACCTAAACCTCTGGGATCGACTGACAGAAGTAAACTTGAGGAAAGGGTGACTGATAAGCTCATTTGGTGCCGCTCTCTGAGTTGGTAGTTCAACACTTCAGCTCCAAGTTGTCCTGCACAGCTCTTCATTATCTTGGATCCCTACCTTTTGAATTGAAGAGGAAGTTTAAAGTACTTCTTCCGTCCTAAAATAAATGTATATGTCGCTTCCCGAGAAGTTAAAATTTTTAAGTTTGATTAAATTTATAAAAATATACTAATATTTAGGATGTATACTAACAATCGTTAGATTGAATTATGAGTATACTTTTATAATAGGTTATTTGAAGATACAAATATTGATACTATTTTCTATATTCTTAGTCAAACTTAAAAAAGTTTGTCTCCTCGAAAAATGATATGCGTATTTATTTTTTAAATATATTTTAGACATAGGTCCAGAAAAACATCATCGCAGCATTTGAAGTTCGTCCAGAAAAGAATAATGTTTTAGACATATGTCACACTTAACATTAATTTTCCGTGGCTACCCACCCGCCCCATCCCTCCCTCGTCGTTCTCTGTCTCTCCCTCGCTAGCTCCTATTTTCCTCCGCCCCCTCCTCTTCCTCTTCACCGGTGACCCCCTCTTCTTCTCCTCCGCCGGTCGCCCTCCTCTTCTCTTCCATCGGTGGGAGGCCGGCGCACACCCTCCTCTTCTTCTCCGTCAGCGTGGAGGTGACACTGCCTGGTGAGGCTACATCGGGGCGGCGGAGATCCGGCCCCTCCCTCCTCTGCTCCTCCCATGGCCGTCAGTAGCCTCTCCTCTCTCACCGTTGGAGAGAAGGCTCGGACGGAGAGGGCACTGAGTCGCTAGATCTGGCGTGGGCTACGGCCTCCCTTTGCAGTGCTCAACAAGGAATGGACCAGTAGCGAGGCGAGGCGAGGCTTGGCGGCCACCGGCCACCGTGTGGATCTGAAAATTTGAATGTGAACGGGAGAAGATAACATGACAAAGACATTGTGGGGCTATTTTGGTCTTTTTTTCCTTGCTTATTGGTTGTCGTGCTCATTCTAGAATGACAATAATTCTGAGATGGTACTTCTGAGATGGACGGAGTACGTTCTAGAGAGTCAAGTAGACAAAAGCTTCTGTTGCCCAGCATACTGTTCCATACACCATACTATAGTCGGTCCTCGCAATTGCTAGCTGTAGAAAGAGTAAACGCCACTATCACATCAGCCTTGCTGTAAGGATTGAGAAATGTATGGACAGACTAAATGCTGACTTAGTTTCGGTCATTTCAGCTGCTGCTAATACAGAGACGGTAACTCGTGAGAAGACTCAAAACTCCATCGACCATGTAAGTGGTTCTAACCCCCCTGTGCATGAAAGAATGTGCGAGTAGGAGTAATTTTAAGTTAATGTGTCTAAAGTTTAATTAAATATATAGATAAAAATATTAATGTTTATGGCATTAGATAAATATAGTATAAAAATATATTTTATGACAAATCAAATGATATGTATTTAATATTATATTAATATTTTTATTTATAGTTAGTTAAATTTAAATTTTTTAACTTGGTATTATACTAGAATTGCATTCTTTTTTGGACAGTGGGAGTATATAGTTAGTCCGCTATATTAGTAAAGTGGGGAAACATTAGCAAAAATAAGACAGGGATTTCATCTATTGCTTCTAATTTTAGCGTCCGCTTTTTCATTATGCTTGTTTGGATTCCATGAAATTAAAACCAATATCTAGAAAGTGCTTCTTATTTTATTATTAGATTATTTTCAATTTCTCTTAATTCCAAGACACCAAACATGGCAAAGAAATCTAGTTTAAACTCTAAAAAGTTAGGGATATACTAGAACTCAACTGTCTCTAGAAATCATTTTTCCAGAATTATTAGTTATGTTGCTTCTTACCAATGCGCCTCAGAGTGACTTGTAACTAACTAAGTGGTTGATATTTTCCTTTTGTATTCACTTTAGCGAACATTGTAATGCATATTTGAGATCCTAAACAAAGTTAAATAAAAAAAGTTTGAATTCAAAAGCTTTAAATCACTTCAATTACAACTTTGGTGTAGGTCGTTTCTCCCTCTGAAGCCATTGGGAAATGTAAAAAAAATATATGAATAGCAAAATCATTAATCTTAAAACATAAATTTTGGGTCCTAAATGAATTCAAATGACAAAGTCATCAACTATAAAGTTGCATACATCTTCCAGTACTACAACTTTGGTTTATGTCATTTCTCCTTCCAAGGTCATTTGTAAAATTAAAAAAAATATGAATATCAAAATCATTAATCTTAAAACATAAATTTTGGGTCCTAAATGATTTCAAATAAAAAAGTCATCAACTAAAAAGTGCATATATCTTCCAGCACTACAACTTTGGTTTAGGTCGTTTCTCCATCCGAGATACTTTGAAATTAAAAAAAAAAATTCAAAATCTAAAAACTTCAAACATAATTCCTAGGCACTACAAAATGTAGTCATGTACAAAGTTGTAGATCCCTTCGAGTACTGCAACTTTGGTTTTCTTTCTCCATTTGAGGACATTTAAAAAATTAATATCGAATTTCAAATTATAAAAACATAAAACAAAATTTTCTAGCCTTAAATGATTTCAAATGGAAAAATCGTCAGCTACAACATTGTAGATCTCTTTGAGTACTAAAACTTTGGTACAAGACCTTTTTGAGGCAGGCCAAATTGTCAACTGCCTCTAAAAAATCCATTTCTGAGTTGGCTAGAATTCCCAACCACCTCTAGAAATACCTCCATTTCTAGGAGCGTATGGAAAGTCTAGGTGCCTCTAAAAATTGCATTTTTGGAGGCGGTTTGGTTTGCCAACCAACCTCTGAAAATAGGAAGCATTTCTTGAGGTGGCTCAAAAGCCTAGCGACCTCTAAAATTGATTTATAGTGGCAAACCATTTTTAGAAGCGGATTTTGATAGAGCCGCCTCTACACAAAAAAGAAGGTGCCTCTAAAAAATGGTTTATATGTAGTAGTGATACAAGCTATTAGGAATTACTTTACATGCTCCACAATGTTTATCCGGTTCTCATGGCTAAGAAGCAAGATTCTTGATTAATATTTGATGTATTTTGCATCATATTTGTTTTTTACACAAAAATATATAGATTTATGGTACTTCATCTATGTCATAAGAATAAGAAATAATTTAATTTCATAAAAAACTTTAAGTTTTGTGTCACCCTGGTAAGCATACTGAATAAATATTATGAAGTAGAGGTACTAGTTTAGACTTAATAAAGTTCTTTAAAATATTGGAGCAACCGATCAGGGAATCTCATGAGCAATTTTATTTTTCCCAATACATCGAGAGATCTTGGATCTTTACATCGAGAGCATTTGGTTTATAATTTGTACTCCCTCTATTCTAAATTGTAAGTCGTTTCACTACTACAGAAACAAGCTGTACTCCTGGTTGGAAAACCCCTTCAGTCCCGGTTTCCTAACCGGGAGCACGAATCCGGGACTAAAGGGCCCCTCCTTTAGTCTCGGTTTCTCGCCCGGGACTAAAGGTCGGTTAGTAATACCAACCGGGGCTAAAGAGGCCTCCCGGCCTGGCCCTTTAGTCCCGGTTGGTATTACCAACCGGGACTAAAGGTTTTCTTTTTTTCTTTTTTTTGTTTCTATTTGCAATTGATGATTCA